GAATTCTATTATGAAATTATTTATATCAACATGAGTTGCAATAATGCTGGAATTTTTGTGTGCCGATGGACATAAATTATGTGTATTAATAGTTTTTATAGTTATAGGCAATTGTTGGAACGACCCCATACAACTATATACCCTCTTAGTATACGAAATGAGCAAGTTGTTTTGCGAATATTTAGCTTGCAATACGAGCATGTAATTTTCTCATACTTTTATTGCGTCCTTTAATGTTTTGGTAGAGTAGTATAGTCGCAGATAGTTGTAGCAATATTCTAGAGAAATCATATGCTCTGTTGATATACATATATACCATATTGGTATGGTACTAGAAGTCTTTTTCGCTACTTATACTTTTGTTGTATTTTTTAATATTTTATTATCATTTTTATTCTAACTAGTATATACGGAGATTTGGTTGCCGTAGATTATGTTTTCTTGCTCTATAACTGGTTGTATTACTGCTAATGGTAGAGTGTGTATTGATATTTACAGGGAAGGAGATCAAGGTTTGCATGGCAATCAGGTGATGATTCTTAGAATCTGATTATGTAATTTATGGTGCTCAACAGCAGTCAATGTAATATTCAGTGTATTAGATCAAGTGACAACTGATATTATTTTAATATAATAATTGAATTTAAAAAATGAGAAAGAAAAAAAAAACAAAAGGTATATTGTATTAGTTATATTAAAAAAAGGTGAACAAATATTTACTATATCAATTATTTTTCTTATTGTATAAAAAAAGAATAATAAAAAATAGTGAAAACGGTAAATGAAATTAGATTATGAAGAGAAAAAAAATATAAAAAAAAAAAGAAGTTAAATGAAAATAGAAAAGGAAAAATAAAAAAAATAAGAAGAAAACGAGAAAAAAGAAAAGCAGAAAAGAAAAAAAGAAGAAAAGAAGCATAGAAATAAAAAAGAATTGGAGAATAAAGAAAAAATTTCCTACAAAAACTACTATGGGTAGGAAATGTAATTAGTTTATGGGTAGAATAACAAATGGGTAGACTAGGGTAAATAGTTTTGTTTTTGTGGGTAACTGTGTCAAAACCTCATAAATTATATTAAAGACCCGATATTTACGTTTTTTAGTGCCAACTGATTTCTAATTTTCTATTATCTTACTTTTCTCATAAGTAACTTAATCCCATTTATTTTTAGCAAAACCGCTGCAGATTGCCTAATTATATGCACGTAAAAGCAAATCATGACTAATTGGGAAGACTAGCTAAATTGCAGCAATCTACTATAATAGCAAATGACTAAATTATTGCATTAATTTGCGAAATTAATCATTCCGTTATCTCTAAATTTACAACAACAATTGTAATCTCTATTGGGATTATCTTTTTTTCATGGCCTTAGTGTTGTTACCCTCTTAAGATTTTGGCTATAAATTTCACGCGAAAGCACTCCATTATCCAGCCAAATCAACCACAGAGTTGAAACTAATTTAGAGAAATATTGTTAAGCCTAAAATGGCAAGACATCAAACTTTTTTATGTTTGTTCGTCACCATTTTTGCTAGTTTTATAGTTGTAGCATTTGAAAGTAAACAGGTAGAAGGAGCTTTGAATGGTGATGGGTGGAGAAATGCTCGTGCTACATTTTATGGAGACCAAACCGGTGGCGAAACCATGCGTAAGTTATACTTGTACAATACTTTGTTACAATACTTGCACTAATAATATTATAAAGGCTACATGATTTCCAAACCATGATATGGATAGCATGAACGTCATTTCACAATTATAATTTTCTTTTTCTTCTTTGAAATGAAACAAATTTTCCATCTAAATAGAAATCGAGAAAAACAAGTGAAGCTTGCTCAGTTGATGAAACGTTTTTACTAATAATAGGCTAGTGGTCCTGGTTAGACACGAGTATGTGAAAGATTATTATCGTCTCATCTGAAGATTGAATTAAAAGATAGAACAGAGAAAGATGGTATTACATGAACATTTTCACATATGCGTAAAAAAATATTTGCAACTTTGTAGTATGGGAAGCGGCCAGGGGCAAATCTAGGTGGGTGGAAGGAGGTTCAGCCGAATCCCCTTCGCGGAAAATTATACTGTCTATGTAAGGTTTAATTTTTTTTTTTTCCGTGTATATATATAAGATGTTGAATCCCGGTAACTTCTTCGCATGTTTATTTTTTTGAATTCCCTTGGGGAAAATCCTGCTTCCGCCACTGGAAGAAGCAATCAAGTATACGTAGCTTTTGCTCCTGGTAGATTTAAGCAATGTAGCTTATGAGAGATTTTAATATTTCCATTTAATATTTCCAACGTACCAAAAAAAAAAGATATTGCATAGTTTGGTTGGTTCACAATATACATATTAACGAAAGTTTGGATACTATTGCAGAGGGAGCTTGTGGCTATGGAAATTTATTCCAGCAAGGATATGGCTTGGAAACAGCAGCACTAAGTACAGCACTTTTTCACAATGGGGCAACATGTGGAGCTTGCTTTGAAATAATGTGTGTAAATGCTCCTCAATGGTGCAATGCAGGGGTGAAAATTACAATAACAGCCACCAATTTCTGCCCACCAAATTACACAAAAACTGTAGATGTTTGGTGCAATCCTCCCCAAGAACACTTTGATTTGTCAGAGCCAATGTTTCTAAAAATAGCCAAATATAAAGCAGGGGTTGTTCCTGTAGTTTATAGGAGAGTCAAGTGCCACAAAAAAGGAGGGGTTAAGTTTGAGATCAAAGGGAATCCTTATTGGATTCTTGTTCTTGTTTACAATGTGGGAGGTGTTGGAGATGTGGCCAATGTCAAAATTAAAGGATCTAAAACTGGTTGGATTACTATGTCGAGAAATTGGGGCCAAAATTGGCAAACTTCTGCACAATTGGTAGGACAGAGCTTGTCTTTCCAAGTACAAACTAGTGATGGACAATGGGTTCAATCTGATAATGTTGTTCCTGCTAACTGGCACTTTGGTCAGAATTTTGAAGCGAAGAATAATTTTAACTCGTGATGTATTGTTGAAATGATTAATCTTTTTAATCAATAGAGTATATGGATCTTTTCTCTAAATTTGTGAAATTTTTTCAAAGAGATTTTGACACTATAATTTATGGATGAAGTGAAACTATTTATATACGTAAGGTACAAGCTACACATTAAATTTGACAACAATATTTTTCCAACACCTGCCTTGATGTTTTTAAACAAATGAATATCCTCCCACTCTTTATTGATCTTTTCATTATTGACAGTCATAAAAAATTCATGAATATTATATCAAGTGTTCTACTTTAATTGATTGCCAATTACTCATTTTGCCCATCGATAATCATTGATTTAAATTACTAGGAATTTTTGCAGTTTTTGTCCCTCAAATATCAACAAACTAGAGTATTTGCATGCGCGAAGCGCAATCATGAGAAGATAAAAATATATAATAGGTAAATTTTTTTTGGGTGGAAATAAAGCTTATTATTCAATCATCCAAAACCAAAACACATACAATTGTTCATATCATTCTTTCTCTTATCCTTTCCTGCCCTTTCTATACCCCCATTATCTTCCTTTGTTTTCTATCTATATATTTCTATATATTTTGTGCCTGTTTCCTGCAAACTATTTGTATAGTCTCTCTATCCAGCTCATCTCTTTCTGTCTCTTCTTTATCTGTATAACTTCCAAACATCTATGTTTACATGTGTATGGTATTTGCTTCAATATTGTTTGAGGTCTTGGTACTTTCTGCAACCAGACTGCTTCATTTCTGGCTCTCCAAATGTGGTATATGACTGCTGCTATCATTGCCTCTGGGAACGATCTTCCTATTTTTCCTTTAGCTACTCTGGTCATTCTTCTCCATATGCCTGTCACCTCCGTGTTCTTTATATTCATCCCAAGCCATTTAAGCACCTCTTCTAAGCACATCTTAGAGAATGTGCATTCAAAGAATAGATGGTCAATCGATTCTGCTTGTCCATCACATAGCATACATTCACTGTCTTCTGTAATCCCCATTCTTAGTGTTCTGTCTTTTGTCAATAGTTTCCTACGCATTGCAAGCCAACAAATGAAACTATGCTTAGGATTATTCATTCTGTTCCACACCCCTCTGCTCCAAGGCCATTGTTCCAGTTCTCCTCTTCTCCAGTGGTAGCCACTCTTAATTGTGTATTCGAAAAAGGGTCAAAAATACCCATGAACTATTGAAAAAGGTTTAAAAATACCCTCCATTCACCTATTGGGCTAAAAATACCCCTCCATCCACCTTTTTGATTTACTTATGCCCTTTGACCGTTAGGTCAATGCTGAATTAAAAATAATAATTATTTAAATTTCACGTGGCAACTTATTATTGGCCAAAATAAAAACATCTAACAAATTAGAAAGACCTACCCATATCTACCAGTTTTTCGTACTAACCCGCTTCAAATACTCACTCTTCCCAAACAAAAAGTTCAACTAAAAAAAAAGAGGCCCCAAAATCTACCAAAACCGTGACATAGAAAGTTATATGATTCCAAAATCTACAAAGTATATCACTACCAACTCGTTGCTACATCAAGTGAGCTCCAAGAAGATTGATATTTTTCTCCAAGTGTTCCAAGAAGGTTAAGATTCTATTCCTCAATGCTTGGAAATGCAGAATATCCGGAAGCACCTATTTGGGAACTTACTCATATAAGCTCTTTACTAGCACTGTATCGTTAGGAAGAACAAACCGGTAATGTTGCCGCAGGGGGCGTCTTTTTTTTATTTTGAACCTTTTATTCGGGTCAGGTTAGTGTTGGGACGGGTTAGTCCGAAAACGGGTAGATATAGGTGGGTCTTTCTAATAGGTTAGATGTTTTAATTTCGACCAATAAAAAGCTGCCACGTGGAATTTAAATAATTATTTTTAAAATTTAGCATTGACCTAATGGTCAAAGGGTATAAGTGAACCAAAAAGGTAGATGGAGAGATATTTGTAGCCCAATAGGTGGATGAAAGGTATTTTTAGACATTTTTCAATAGTTCAGGGGCATTTTTGATCCTTCTCCGTTGTGTATTTTCCAGCCTTAGTTTGCCACCTATTCTCTGCATATCCTACTGCATACGTGTCTCTTATAGAACATATTTTCCTCCAGTACCAACAACAGCCCTGTGGAGGAGTGTAGTGCCACCAATTTTCCCCTTTCAAGTAGATATGATTCACCCATTTAACCCACAGCGTGTCTTCTTTGTTTGCAATGTGCCAAACATACTTGCCACAACAGCTTCATTCCATGTACTGCGTTCTCTTATTCCCAGCCTCTCTTCTCTTTTTGGTCTACATACTAAATCCCAAGCTACCAATGGCACCTTATTTGATATTTCTTTCCCATCCCATGAGTAGTTCCTACATATCCATGATGTCCTTTAAGACCTTCTTTGGTAGAATGAAGATTGTTTCCCAGTAGGAGTGTATGTTTATCAATACAGAGTTAATCAATTGAACTCTGCCTGTATAAAATAAGTTTTTCGATCCCCAAGAGTGTATTCTTGTGCTCAGTTTATCCACTAGTAATTCACAGTCCCTTGCTGCTAGTTTCCTTGATGCTATAGGAACCCATAGGTATTTAAATGGCAAGGTTCCCTGTTTATTCCCTGTTACCTCACAGATATCAGCTAAGCATTGACTTTCTATATTTGCACTATAGACATTTGATTTCCCAGCATTCTTACTAAGTCCAAATGCATTAGAGAATGTTTGTAGACCTCTCAGCATAAGCAATACACTTTGATAGTCTCCTTTGTAAAACATTAATACATCATCAGAAAAACATAAATGATTTAGCTTCAAACTCTTGCACTTCGTATGAATAGCAAATCCATCAAGAGTGGCTACCCATTGCATGATTCTTGTAAAATATTCCATACATATCACGAATAGAAGAGGTGATATAGGATCTCCCTGACGCAATCCCCTTCTCCCATTAATACATCCATAGATTCCCCCATTCAACGCCATTGAGTATTGAGTTGTAGATATACATACCATAGTCCATTTGATGAATCTGGAAGGAAAGTCTAAGGCATGTAACATTTCTTCCACAAATCCCCATTCCACTGAGTCGTATTCTTTCTTTAGATCTATTTTAATCAAGCATTTTCGTGTGGACTTCTTCCTGTTGTACAGTTTCACCAGGTCTTGGCAGATAAGGATGTTTTGTACAATGCTTCTGCCTTCCACAAAAGCACTCTGGTTCTCAGCTATTATTGTGGGTAATACTTCTTTTAATCTATTGCACAGCATCTTAGAGGTTATTTTATAGATAGTGTTGCAGCACGCAATAGGTCTATAGTCTCCTACCTCATCTGCATGATTGTTCTTTGGAACAAGAATTATAGTTGTGCTGTTAATGATCTTGAGCATTTTTGTCGTTTCAAAGAACTCCATTACACTTCCTAATTAATCCCGTTTACAACTGGCCAACAGTCCTTGAAGAATTGGCTTCCATATCCATCAGGGCCTGGGGACATATCTCCTGATATTGACCATAAGGCTGCCTTTACTTCTTTTTCAGTGAACTGAGCTTCCAACTTTTCTCTCTGCTCCTGTTGTACTATAGGCCTTCTTCGAACTAGATTGCTACACACATGTTGTCTTCCTTCTTTATATTCACCTAACAGATTCTTATAGAAGTTAATAAAGGAATTTGCAATCCCTTCCATATCTGTATGCACCTTCCCTGTTGCATCCTTAATGGAAAAGATCTTATTAGCATTTCTTCTGGCTTTTATCACATTATGAAAGTATTTTGTATTTTGATCACCCTGTCTCAGCCACTTTATCTTGCTCTTTTGTCTCAAGAATTGTTCTTTAGATGTCTTCCATTTAATGCTTTCTTGCATCAAACTGATTTCCTCTGTAATTAGTTCAGCATTCCTAGGGTCTTTTTGGATATTTTCTTGACACTCTATCAAGCGTGCCATTGTTATTTTTGCCTTCCTTTCAACATCTGAAAATCTTTTCCTTTTTAGTCTTTGCAGTACACTCTTTGTTCTATTTAGCTTCCCCACCAGTTTATACATCTTTGTGCCTTTCAGTTCCTTCTCCTACACTTCTTGTACTCTTGGTTTCAATTCTGGTATTAGGCTCCACATATTAAAATATCTAAACTGCCTTTTATGCCCTGTATCCCCCCTTCCCAATTTATTATTGCTAGACAGTGATCATAGATGCCTTGACTCATGAAGTGTACTTCTGATGCAGGCAAGTCTATCATCCATTCAGTATTTACCAGTACCCGATCTATTTTACTAAAGACTCTGCTATCTCCCCCTTGCTTGTTATTCCATGTGAAGAAAGCTCATGAAGATCTAAGTTCCTTCAAACCACACACTTTAATACATTGTCTAAAGTCTCTTGTTTCAGCCATTGTTATTTTACTTCCTATTCTTTCCTCCCTGTTAAGGGCACAATTAAAGTCACCCATCACAGCCCAAGGGCCCTCCAACTGAGTACCTATCTGGTTGATATCTTCCCATAGTTTCCTTCTTGCTGCTTGCTCATTGAAACCATACACTAATGTGACATTAAAACTGAGCCCATTCCCTCGATGTTTGACTTCACTATGAATTAGTTGTTCAGTCACTTCATTTATGTTTACCTCATATAGTTGAGGTTTCCACAACAGCCATATCCTTCCTCCTGGGTGCTTTTCTAAGTTTGTTAAGAACGACCAGCCTTGACAAAGATTGAGAGAAGCTATCTGTGCCTTAGTTCTCTTAATCTTTGTTTCCAGAAATCCAAACAAGCCAACCCTTAGATTATGGATAAACAAATTCATTTCTCTCTGTTTGTCTAGCTTATTCAGACCTCTGGCATTCCAAAAACCAATCCTATCCATTAGGGCTGGGGTTTCCCCCACCCTTTCCATGTCCTGGACCTCCTTCAGCTTCACCTCCTCCAGGGCAGGGAGGTATAGCTATGCCTTCATTCTTGCTTTGCTGGTCATCTAAGGCTGCAAATGAATTTTCTATATTAATTTGTAGTTCACTGATCACTATTCCTCTTCTTGTATTATCCCTCATGTAGTAGAAATTTTCTTTCCTTGGTTTCACCATCAACTGTTTTCCTTCCCTTTGCTGATATTCCTCTACAACAGTTGCATCCTTGTTAATTACTGTGCTGTTTTCTTTATGTTCTCCATTGCTTGTCTTCTCTGCCACATTTTTTGCTTCTTCTTCCCATGCTAATGCCTTGTTGTTTGTCTCTTCCCTTATGTACTTTCTGCACTCCTTTAGTTCATGCCCAAATTTTTTGCACTTGGTACATAGTATTGGTTTCCATTCGAATTCCACATCTTGTTCCACGATGTGTCCATGCTCATTCTCAAACATTATTGTGTCTGGAAATACCTTATTAATGGGAACTTCCGCCAATAGTCTAGCAAATGTCATTCTCTCCTTCATTGTAGTGGCTTTGTCTGCTTTCAGAGGATTGCCAACTAGCCCTGCTATTTTGCTAATGCTTGTTTTCTCCAATACTTCACATTCAGTCCCGAAAGTCTGATCCATACTGGTATGTTGTCCATTATCTCTTTCTTCATTTCTATTTCTGGTTTCCAAGGCTTGACTATAACAGGATTTCTGTCGAACATCTGGACTCCATCTCCTACTACTTTTGTGCAACTTTCAAGTGTGTGAAATCTGACCAGAAACACTCCTCTATGTACCTGTGCAACTTTATCAATTCCCAACCCTTCCCAAATTCTGTTGAAGTATCATTCAATGATTGTTTGATGTGGATTTGAGCGCAACGCATAACATACTACCCCTGTTTTCCAGTACTCCACCTCCTCATGGATGTCTTCTAGAGTTATTTTCACATTTCTATTAACATGTGTTTCTCGTTTCAAATCCTCACCTTCTTTCATTGGAACAGTTCCTACAATCTTACTCCATGAAGGTCTAGTTTCTAGGGTTTGCATCTTACTCTGTGCTGCAAGTGCAATTGCTTCCTCCTCCACCTTATCAGCCTACGATCGTCTGCTTACATCACTTCTCCCCTCTACATTTTCATTCTCTGTCTTCGCTGGTGTTACAGTTGGCGTTGAAGTTGCAGATACTCGATCCATATCCAATAGTACAATTTCATGAATTGCGTTCATATTTCTCACTTTCTTTGAATCTTCTGTCCTAGGAACACCTTTTCCTCCTTGATTTTGACTCGGATTTACCATTTGAGTGCTTTGTCCTCTCGCCCCAGCCTTCGATTTCCTACCCATATTCAGCGTTAACTGAGAGGAAATTTCATTCTAGAGAGAGAATTTTCCAATGTCCGCTTCTTAATTATTCCTTCGTTATAATAATAGCTAAATTTTAGGATCATATTTTTTATAAAAGAGAATTTATCTTTACTAATCAAACATCATTTCATGATTTAAGCACTTTTTATGCTTCTTCTAACATCTTTTATTTAAAAAGAAGTATGAGAAACATTTCCAGGTTAAATTCGAACGTCGAAGCAGATTTTGCTGAAACCTCCCTTTTTATTTCATATAGCCAAAATCTGCAATTTTATCATGCAAGACATAAATGTAAAACACATTCTAGTGATGAATGAGCTCTTTCGTATTTATTTTTGTATTGTTTAATGGAAATCACTTACTACAAAGTTCACAAAAAGGAAGAACGTCCAGCCTGCCACGACAGTGGAACGTTGTCAAGGAAAAGATTATAAGAAATCAACTGAACACATTCATAAGTAAACCAGTTATTTAGGGGCAAAATTATCTAAGGATAAGCATCAAAAGATTGTCTCCCAGTTAAATATACCTATTTCTTTTTTATTTGGTAAATACCATGCTACACAAATCTCTTAAGAATGGCTAAAATGACATAGAATTGTCTCAACCATTAAGATAAAAATTAGGTACTGATCATGCTTGTAATATTTTCAAATTCAGAATAACGTAGCTTTAAATGTTTTATGAGAAAGTGATGACAAAAGCAAACGTACCAGTGGTCTTGAAATATGCCGCCAAACTCGAAATCTGATCATATTGACCCCCGAGTTTTATTTTTAATGGGGGTCGAAAAAATGTGCGAAAGAATGTATAATAACCTACACTAATAATGTGCAGGGGCTTCAGAGAGAAATGTTGAATATAATATTACTTTTATACATAGAGACCCTCTAGCCGTAATGAAAAATTGGTTTCAGGGAAAAATAACGATAATGGACTCTTCACTGGAAAATATTGAACATGGAACCTTTATTCGTCTCAAGCACTGTGCTTTAATTCAAAATCAGCACCTAACATTTCATTTACTATTTCAAGAGGTTAAAATGCTAAACTTCGGAAGGCAATATCTAAAATATAAAGCTACAAGTAAGAATATGAAAAGAACAAACAGATTAATTAGAAAAAATAGTTAGAAATCAGAAACTTATCACGCAACATTACACCTAATAATTATAAGATAAAATGCAATAAATATTGAACATTAAAGGGGAAAAGGAAGAAACAATAATGCAGAGAAAAAAAGCAGAACATCTACAAGAAAAATGGTGGCGAAAAAATGAGAAAAGATAACAAAAAGAAGACAAATGGATAAATTTCAGTGACAGAAAAAAATTAGTAAAATATGTATAAACATAAACTTATGAATCTGTCACCTCTTCACGGTTTTTTCTAAATGGCAATATGTTACGACCCGACCGGTCGTTTCATGAGTTACAGCTCTGTTTTCCCCATTTCTGCTTTCTTCTGTGTTCTTCAGCTGTGTTTTATTGTATCATATTGGTTGATTTGGGTCCGGAGTGGTTTTGGAGTGGAATGAGGCACTTAGCCTCCTATTTAGAAGCTTAAGTTGAAAAAAGTCAACCGGATGTTGACTTATGAGTAGACGGTCTCAAAACGGAATTCCGACAGTGGGAGTATCTTCGTAGTGTCATTTGCGACCTGTGTACAAAATTTGAGAATATTCGGACGAGGTTTGATTGGTTTCGGAGTCATTTGTGGAATTTATGAGTTTGGAGTTCTTAGGCTTGAATACGAGGTTTGATTTGATGTGTGGTGTTGCTTTGAGTGATTCGTAGATTCGACTAATTTTTAATGGTGTTATGGGATGTGTTGGTATGTTTGGGTGAGGTCCCGAGGGCCTCGGATGTGTTTCGGATAGTTATCGGAGGAGATTAGCTGTTGGAACAGGTGCTGGGTTGCCGAGGGAGTTGTTAGAGTTTCACGGGGGTTCTCTGAAGTTGAGAACGCGGGCCGCGCCAGATATTCGCGGTCAGCAGTGTGTTTTCGCTGGAGCAGCAGAATTCCGCGCTCAACGGAGGAGGCCGGCGCGGATAGCGGTGAAGGACGCGGGGGCAGCTGTAATTTCACGGCTAGCGGTGAAGGACGCGACGTCGTTGGATTTTTGGCGGTCACCGAAATTGGGATC